TGCCTATTAGATTTAAAAATTATCATGAAACAGATTCAGAACCAGAATTCAGAATCTGAGGCCAATACCTAAAGAGGTTCTAGCGCTACTGATTTTCCAATTTAAATACATAAGGGACTAATCTCAGCACTTTGGAGTTCTCTCAACTGTCGGTCTTAATATGTACATTAAGTTATTATAGGAAAGAAAATGTATAGATACTGAAGCACTTTTATACATACACAGATACACTGCTTCCTAAAGACGTTATTATCCAGAAGCCAGTTCGGTTCACCTACCAATTAAATACCTTGATAAAACATCAATCAAACTTCTTAACACAACAGGAATAAGACGCCTAAAGGGAACTAAAACTTTTGAGTTAATAAGTATGTATAAGGCCCTTTCTCCACTGCTCCGGTCCGGCGTCGAAAACCGGAATCAGTCATGAGAAAAATATCGGAAAGCCGGATTGCGCTTCTCCACTTTATCCGACAATAATCGATCAGTAAATATAAGTCACCCCGTCGCAACGGACGTAACGCAGTGCTTTATTAAAATTCCTCGACTTTACGATTCACAATGAGTCCTGCCTTTAATCGCCAACAACTTTTAGCTATATTGTTATACGTTCGAAGACAAAGAGGTATCACTGTCGATTACTTCGGACCGATAAAACACAGCGTTCCGATCTAGCAAATTATCGGATCGTTAAAAACCGGATGCCGGAGTAGTGGAGAAGTACGTAAGTACTGTTGTGAGTTTCTAAATCTGATCGGTAATTAACGTTTGCCGGACCGGAGCAGTGGAGAAAGGGCCGAAGTGTGTGTATGAGTGCAAGTGCGGTTTCTCGGAAACACGAACATAGTGTCTAAACATTATAGAACACTAAGACTGTTAATGAACATTTCCTTAGTTTAAACTATTCATAATAATTGTAGAAAATAAGGTCAAAATAATATTACTTATTAGCCATAATTATCGTATAGGCTGGATTGTAATACATGTAAAGTCGCACACATTTTTGTGAACTTTATTGTAGGAAAAAAAAATATAATGAGGTCCACCGGACGTATGCATCTGTCTATACAAACTAATAGATATTGTGATTTCTGAGGTTGTATGTTTGGCTGAAATATTATGATTTTTGTTGAAAGAAATCTATCCTATACAATAACAAATATATCTATCACATTTATCGGAACAGTTGAGTTAAATTAAAATGTTTTAAAACGGCGACGTTATGTATAATAATGTTGCGTTATATATAGAAAAAAATACTCAAACTACTTGTTGGTTAGATAAGGTCCTTACATAATATGACATTACGTGGCAACCGCTACTTCGACAGGTGTTAAAGTATTGACATTATTGGTAATGAACATAAAGCGTTTTACAAATAAACATTATAGACACATATAATGGCAGGCACATTAGACGTATAATATATAGATATATAAAGATATATATTGGAAAATTAAATTTATTCATAGAATGAAGCTGTCTTGTTAGTAACCATACCTACTATTACCCTCAAATAGCTATTTCTTGTCCTTATCACTCTTGAGTTAATTTGAAAATAAATAAACGTGACAGAAAACTATATCTCTGTGGAAATTAATTATCTCGTTCGTTTAGACACAAAACATTAAAATAGACATATTACATTTATTACTAAAAAAACTCACACACATAAACACACAAAATAAAAATAAGCAAAGAAAAAAATATATTAAAAAAAATCCCTTTTCCCATTCGGTTCGTTTCAAGTGTGTAATGCGTGTGTGCGGTGGCTGTAATTGGCCCTTGCTCAGCATTATGCTGAGGAGCAGACTGTTCCACAGCGCTGATCATTCTGCCAGAGACCACAGCAGCTTACTAGCTGCTGTGGTTAATTATACTTAATTAAATTAAATTTAAGTTAATGTTTGACAAAACATAGAATCCAAACATTATCCTGATTAAAATTAACATAATATTCATCTAAAAGGAATTAATAGACAACGTGACCTAATTAGTTACTGATGCCTCATCCTAACACTAATTAATAATAATAATTCGTGAAAATTCGTAAATCGTGAAACAGATACAGAAATGAGGCCCAGACCTAAAAAGGTTGTAGCCACTGATTTTCTTAATATTTCTTTTATAAAATCAATTTAATCCGTCAATAATCAACATCGATTCAGAACTTGCCAATGGAAAATAATCATCAGAATCGATTAGTCTAATTGATAAATGCGACCTATTCCACTATCAATGAAGATTATGAATGTGGGGCGTGGCCGAATTAAACAATATCTAGAGTTACGGCCGTATGTTGAATAAATTATAGGAAATAAAGCGAAAGTAATACCCATAACGAGATTTTTTTAGGTCACACGGGTGACCAAACATGACGGTAGAAATTTTTAATTCTTGAACACTTTTAAACAAGTATGTAGCCCCAACTATCTGAACGCGATAAAAAATAATAATAAATTTTTCGACCAATTTCTCTGCCACATACATGGATCCATAAACACAGACTGACGGACGTCCAAGAATGATTGATTTTAATGTTATTATTTACTATGTTAAACAAAATAATTGTTCATAAAAAATACCATATGTGCTTGATAGATTATTTAACTCGATTTTAGTGCACTCATATTATCCTGTAAGTGTTATATTAGTGAGAAAAAAGTCATTCAAGTTTCGAAAGACTGGGTTTTTGTCGAGAGTAGAGCACTGCCTCCGCTCCGCTAATGAGGCGTGCAAAACTACCAAACGAATCATTGTACTGTTTTCACTAATAAATAGTTTCGTGGAAGGTATAGGTGATGAATTCAAATAAATTACAGTTCGCAAAAAATATTTCAAAGCGAACGAAGCTCTGGGCGGAAGCTAGTTTATAGAGTCAAAATATGCAAACTCAAATAACTTTAGTAATATAGGTAACCAAGTACACCTAGGAACATCAACAGAAAATTGTAAATTGATTCTAAATTTACATTAACTACCAGCTCGCCCTGCGTTGAGCGAAAGAAGAACTGGCAAGAAAGCTAGTTTCTCTCTCTTTTTAATCGCCAAGTTTTGAGTCATCATACAAATTGTTTGAACTGGAGCTAATTAATTCCAAGGATCAATTATTTACTGATTAATTTACATTTAACGAGAGTTTTGAATTTATTCTGTGATAATTCTCTAATTGCGCTTGGATGTTTGTTGTAAAAACGAATACAATTTTCATATAAGGAGTGGTTTATCTTCTGTAGCCTGGTTGGTCTTTCGCTTAGATTTGTTCTGTTTCGAGAATTATACTGGTTATATATTGACAGAGAATGTAAACAAACAAATATTATTTGCCAAGGATTGAACATTATCCACAACATACAATTATTATTGCTTATCTTGTACTTAAATAACAATTTTAAATTACACATCCGCAAGCCGCAATCTTTTCGTATAATTGCTTATGAATATTAAGAAACCAAGGACATACATCTATTAGGGTGTTATTACAAGTAGCGGCACGAAACTCTAGCGCTGACCGTTATTGCGCAGAAGTAAAAAATAAGGTACCTGAGGGGGGCTAGCGGAATGAAGAGTTTCGATTGGCTCTCCAGTCGCATTCCGTCCCCCGCGCGACAGTACACATGCGCAGCAATCCCCTCCACGTATCGGCCAGTGCTAGACTTACGTGCCGCTGCCTATACTGTTATATAAAACTATTTACTTTATTTTATTTTTGCTTTCAAACATCACAAGGATGACATTCATATACTTATGAATATATTTATAGAAAGGATATACATGTGTAGCCAGATCAAGCACACAAATGCAAATGGATAGTTCATACACTCTGAAAGGATCCCAATCATATTCCCAAGCAGGCGCTTGATTGGAACCTGCAATGGGTTCGCCAAGCATCAGCGAATAAACACGGTAAATGCATTATGTAGGAATGAAGAAAATAACAATAATAACAAACACATTCCTTAACACAGCATGGTTTCTAAATCAATCAGCATTATAATAGTCTGGTGTTACCTGATATTCATAACTCGAAATACCTTATTATAATTTACTTTATATCTTTTGAGTTTAGCATTATTTCAATAAGGAAACACGTCTGATATATATTTGCAAAACTAAAATTTTCGTAACAAATAAACGATTTCCGGCTATATATATATCCTTGCACTTTATAACACTTGTATGGAGTATTAAAATTACTCTAAATTCAGGGTAACGGATGCAGAATGCAGTACTGTGGTTATAAGAGCGTGATATGCTTTATAGAGCGCGAAGGGGTCAAACTAGAGGTCAACCAGTGGAAATTTGGGTTTTTCGAGGACACTTAAAAAAAGTTCTTAAGACTATAATAGAACCGCGTTTATTAAACCCTATTCAGTGTCTTGACCAAGTTAAAATTTTAAGAATACTATATAGATTTTAAATGATATTCATATTAAAAACTCTTCATAAAGTTTTTCAAAAAATCCTTATTGTATAGACGTGAATGTCATTAGTAAAAATCAATCAACTGTGATCTATTATTCAAGGAACATTCATTACGTAATTAATAATTTCATTGTAAATGACATTCTTTTCATAAAACCATTAGTTAGATTGCTTTTACATTAAGTAGATAATTCAACAGAACATGATGAGAATAAATTATAATCTATATATGAAAATAAGAACGGAAAAACCAGAAACCATAGACGTATGTTCTATTGTCTACATTCGACAGACGACAATATTCTTGTAGACCTACTTTGAGACCCACGGGGGTCAACAACCGACCTACCTATCACAACTTGAACGATAATTAAGGTTGTTCTACTTTATTTATAAGCTACTGAGAAGTGACTGCGTTGGAATGACTTAATTTATAAACACGCACAGTAGCGTCTAAGAAGCCGCCAATTTTTGTTGGGCTAACTTACAAACAATGGTTCGCAAGTGAGAATCAAACAAAATATAGTTTTACAATCACATAAATAATTATTTAGATAACGTAATTATCAGAATACTCACGGCCAGGTGCCTGATCGTCGTTGTCTATGATGACGAAGTTGCGGTTGCGGCTCCGCGTGTAAAAGAGCTTGAGGTATCAAACTTTTCGAAGGCTTCCTCTTAAATCTATACTCCGATCTCTCCACACTTTTGCACATCCTCAGGGTCGACAGTTCCGACTCCGAACTACACCATAATGATTCCATCGACAACATTGTTAACGCAACAAAAATCAAGAAAAAATTCGAGAAAACTGATTGTTAAAACATCGCGCGAATTTTTCGAAATTGCTTAATATCAAGGCACGGCAATGCCAATGTTGCAATTTTGCCCTGTTATGGGGAAATCGAAAGTTACGGAATCCGAGCGGCAGTAAACCAAGAGCACGACTTAACGCGTCTGGCGTGACTAACCAACTGACAACTGATAGCAAATTTCAGCTATAGCCCGTGATAGAAACACGATATAAGTGCGTGTGCAAAATTACAATGTTTTATGTTTATAAGAGCCATTGAATATGCAAAAGTATAACAATGTCATTATTTTACTTGAGAACATTCCTCTCATTAAAAGAAACAGGTATATAGACATTTGCTTGAAAAAATTGTCGCTGTAAATTGCACTTCAATAACTGTAAAGTGTTTTCTGTCATACATGTAAATGAAGACAATATCTCAACCATGATTACAATCTAAAAATTTATGTGCATACAGAACTTTCTTAAATGCATTAGTATTTCAGCTAACTCAAGGAGAAAGTGTGACCATCATGCATGTAAGACCAGTCACTGAAAACTCTTATTATTTCAGTACCAGTGATTAAGTGAAAGTAAGCAACATTTTACTATGTTGAAACTACCGTTGATTACATAAACAAACCAATCTTAATTAAAAATTTGTTATAGGAAATAATTTTAGAACTAATTTTGTATAATATATCAATATAAATTGATTTTATCTACATTGCAAAATATATATTAATTCATAACATAAAGCTTAAAAAATACACTCTTATTGAGTGTTTTAATTAAATTATTTTTGGAAACAATGTGTAAATTGATTTCAATACCAAAAATGGTTAAAAAACAAGAATAAAGTTTTTGCTTACTTCTCTCATATTAACGACATATTAGGATAGTAGTAAACTGTTTTTATTGATACAAATGTTAAGGTAAGGTACTTTATTAAAATGTTCATACTGTCATCTATTTACCCAAGCAGACCTAGAAATATAACCCCAGGTACATAGAATCCAAAATAAACATATAGCCATAATTATTTATAATGAACGAAAAATTTAAGAAAGGAAAATGAAATAACTTACTCAATAATATTGGTTTGTTTACTCATCTAGGTTATGATTACACACTAATTAAAATCTAGATCCAGATAAATAACAGTATGAAATATTTGCATTACCTTTCTTCTTCTTCTGCAGTCTCTTTACTCGTACAAGGATTTTTACTCTTTTTATCCATCTTCAAACCACACACTACACAATAAGCAATGAATTAGAACCATAATTATTGATATTGAATTCTAGTTCTCATGTCGTACGTAATTTATCATTGTTTTTTAAGGATAATAAAGGAATAATAGTTTAACAAACTAACATACTGCAATATTTTATTGCACACTAAAACATACAATAGAACTTTTCAAAAAAAATTCGTAATCAAAATATTTCAAAATAAAATTTATAGGACGTCATTAGACAATTTTCAATTTCACTACTGTCAGATGTCAGAAGTCAGAACGCCAATCGCCATATAATGATATAAGTCTACCGACTATACACTTGTTTGGCCTGGTGCACAGAGTACTTATATTTAATATTTCTGTGGTGTATGTGCATCAAGAGTCAAGTCGATGATGTAATAAAGAAAGGAGAAAAATCTTTCTTTAGACCTGGCAGGAATCTTATTCATGTTTATACTTTATACATGTAATTCATCTTTAGAAGAATGTCGTCAATATCACGGAATTTTAAAATAATCAATAAGAAGACTTAACTGAATTTCTCATATGTGGCGAAAACAGAACTTGTTTATTAAGACCTATTCTAAATTATTCTATTCTATTCAAAATTCGGTTCATTCGATTTTCAATACATTAAAATTAAGTGTGACTCTCTTTTAATACCCCTGCATTGAATATCGTTTTTCCGTCATGCATTTTGCTTTTAACTTTTGTATAGGCGTTACGAAATGTCATCGGTGATTTGGTAAAGATTTTATGAATTTCTGCTGCTAATATCCAAATACTTACGGAGTTATACACAGTATACTTAATTTTATATAAATAAAAACTATAAATATTCAAAACTTTCTAATAAAAAATGTGAGGGATCGTATTCTAAAACATATAGTTATAATGTTTAAAACGATTCCATATTCATATAAATATCTTATTCGTATTTCTATTCATTATAATGTAACTTACCGGAATGTATTCAGCTTGTCAGCGATATTATTGAGAGGATTTTTACGCAGAGGTCCAGGTGATCCACCAGGTGAGCTATCCCGGGACTCTGCCGCAAGGGCCCTTGCAACCATTAAGTCTTGTTCGTTTAACATTCTGTAAAAACCATCGAAACGTACATTAACAATATTTGTTTACCTTTTAAAAGTGGTTAAGCATAAGACACACAACTCTGAGGTAATGCATTTTAGACTAGTTGTGTGTTCACTCAAGTCTACAGCGCAATATAATCATGTTTAAATGTACATAATTTTGATATTTAATATTTCATAAACGTTTTACATTCAAGAAGCAGATTTACATTTAAGATAGCTTCAACGATGACATTGAAACCTTACCAAGCTTATCATTTCATGTTTAAAACCACGTACACATAATATACAATATACATATGTATTAATATAAATTATTTAAGATTGTTTCTTTATTAAAAACTCATAACTTGATTGATTTTTGTCTTTGATTTGTGTACATTTACTATTTAATAAAAATACAATTTACTATTTATTCATCTATGCGTGGAGTTCTATAAATACGTATGGTACGGAGACATTTATACGTAACTTTTTATTGACTATAAGACTAGTAAATTAGCCTTCTACCTTTTCAACAAACGATTTATATTTCGTCGAGAATCTGTACGTGTAATCTTTAAAGCTTTTATATACTCTGTGCTTTTCAAACCGAAACATAGATTATCATTTAAAAACCGAAGGTGTCGTGAGGGGCTGAATCTACGAATCCTTTCATTCAGAATACAGTATAAACTCATTTTTAGTATAAATTAAACAATAGTTCCTCAACCAAACACGTGTTTAAGCTTCTTAAGTGTTTAAATATGTAAATGTTTATCTTAAAAATACGCAAGTATCACGAAATCACGTCATATTTTAGCTATTCAAATAATATGGAATATAATAATTTCCTGTTACTACGATTTTTATAAAACTATAATTAAACGAGTAGACGTTAAAGATTTACTACTAATCAAGAACTATATTGACACTTGCTTGTATGATAAAGGAAAATATCGCAACTGAACATGCCTTAGACCTAAAAGCATAGAAGGTTGATCATCTGCATGCCCAATTCAAAAAAGAAAACCATGCAACAGATGCAAAATGCTGAGGCCTGAGGCTGATGAAGTTTTTATATATGTGCTGTTCATAAGCATGCTCTAAGAAGCATCTAAATTGAATAAACGTATTTTGATTTGATTTTGATTTGATTTATCTTGTTTGATGATAGATAAAATCTGTATGTATAATGTATATTTAGGGTCCTTTGTAGGTTCTTAAGGTAAGATTTAAAGCCTAGATTTAGGGCTCAGTATGACTTCCTATTTCCGAACCAATTCGACTTAGGGTCCTTTAAGAAAAGCCCGTACCAACTCTTAAAAGGTCGGCAACGTTGAGCGTCCAAGGCGGTATCACTTAACATCAGGTGAGCATCCTGCCCGTTTGCCCCCTATTATATATAGAAAAAAAATAAGGATTAACATACTTTTATGTCTCGACTATGAAATTTATTAGTTATTTCTTGAAATAATTCAAAAAAATCTAAAAATTCATAATCGGTACCAAATACTAGTATTACTCTTTTTGTCGCTAATAATATCACAACGCGCGAAAACACTTGGCAAAGATGAGCTTTAAATGAGAGAATATTAAATGGCAAGTAACATGTTACGAGCTAGGGGATCGGATAGAAACGCCGTAGATCTCTTCAAGGGTTTATTTCAATTAAATCTACGAGGAATTTGTTACACTAAAAACTGGTAATTACGCACTAAAATTCACTGAATACACACACAAAATACTGTCACTAATTACACGCACTTCACACAGTACTTGTATTCACTTGTCTTCACTATATTCGCACTTTGTCACTCCGGTGTTTATCGCTTGGTATCGCATTCAAAACTGAACTAACTGGTCGCGTTTCGGCTCGCTTTTATATCCCTGGGAGCGATGTTCGAGAACTCTCTAGGCGGCAGCGCAACTGAGTAGCGATCGCACAATTCTAGAACGTGCGTACTAGCTATCCCTTTCGCACATTGCTCCGTCCTTGTCGTACGGCGTTCTAGAGTGCTCGGTCTAGCTTCGAGAAGGTTCCGATCTTCCCTCTCTCGCGTATCATTCCGTCCTTGTCCCACACCTAGAAAATTCGTTCTAGAACATTCCTTCGTCAAAGGGGTATAACCAGGCCTGAAAACGCCTGAAAACGGGTTTCCTGAAAAGTGTACCATTCGACTACACGTGTTCTGAAACGGCCTGAAAAAATCGCTACTCAGTTGCGCTGCCGCCTAGAGAGTTCTCGAACATCGCTCCCAGGGATATAAAAGCGAGCCGAAACGCGACCAGTTAGTTCAGTTTTGAATGCGATACCAAGCGATAAACACCGGAGTGACAAAGTGCGAATATAGTGAAGACAAGTGAATACAAGTACTGTGTGAAGTGCGTGTAATTAGTGACAGTATTTTGTGTGTGTATTCAGTGAATTTTAGTGCATAATTACCAGTTTTTAGTGTAACAAATTCCTCGTAGATTTAATTGAAATAAACCCTTGAAGAGATCTACGGCGTTTCTATCCGATCCCCTAGCTCGTAACATTTTGGTGTCAGAAGTGGGATAGAAAAATGCCAATTACTCCGAGGGAGAATCAAGAGGAGTTTGTGGCCGAGTCTCCAGCTGCGGAGGGAGTGCAGACAAGGGCACAATCAGCACGCGACGCCGCCCGGCGACAAAGTTTCGATGCGAACCGCGGGATGGGCGAAAGCAACGATAGCAACATCCTCCTTGCCCTACGACAAATGATGGAAGAACAGGCACGACGTCAAGAGGAACAGGCCCGTCATCAGGAGGAACAGGTTCGGCGATTGATGGAGGAACAGGCTCGCCGTCAAGAGGAACAGGCACGCCAAATCGTGGAAGAGCAGGCTCAGACACGTCGTTTGATGGAGGAACAGGCTTGCCGTATCGGAGAAAGATTAGGAGATCTAAAACAAGAAGTAGATAAAAAAATCGAGAACTTGGAATCTGATATGGACTGCAAATTTTCGAAACAGGACAAACGTATTCTCAGATTAGAACAAGAGATGCAGTGCCTGAAGACCAAAGGTGTCGTAACGACTGTAGCACCATCTGGAAATCTGAAAGTGCCTCCCTTTGACGGTACATCTTCCTGGGGCGCGTACAAAATACAGTTTGAGACTGTGGCAGAGTCAAACGGGTGGAATGACGATCAGGCTGTCACCGCCCATTATTATGGGACTGCGAGATGAAGCCCTCACCATATTAGATACCAAGACAGGTAAAGTGACGTTGAAGCAACTGCTGGATGCCTTGGAATCTCGTTTACCTGTCTTGGTATCTAATATGGTGAGGGCTTCATCTCGCAGTCCCATAATAATGGGCGGTGACAGCCTGATCGTCATTCCACCCGTTTGACTCTGCCACAGTCTCAAACTGTATTTTGTACGCGCCCCAGGAAGATGTACCGTCAAAGGGAGGCACTTTCAGATTTCCAGATGGTGCTACAGTCGTTACGACACCTTTGGTCTTCAGGCACTGCATCTCTTGTTCTAATCTGAGAATACGTTTGTCCTGTTTCGAAAATTTGCAGTCCATATCAGATTCCAAGTTCTCGATTTTTTTATCTACTTCTTGTTTTAGATCTCCTAATCTTTTCTCCGATACGGCAAGCCTGTTCCTCCATCAAACGACGTGTCTGAGCCTGCTCTTCCACGATTTGGCGTGCCTGTTCCTCTTGACGGCGAGCCTGTTCCTCCATCAATCGCCGAACCTGTTCCTCCTGATGACGGGCCTGTTCCTCTTGACGTCGTGCCTGTTCTTCCATCATTTGTCGTAGGGCAAGGAGGATGTTGCTATCGTTGCTTTCGCCCATCCCGCGGTTCGCATCGAAACTTTGTCGCCGGGCGGCGTCGCGTGCTGATTGTGCCCTTGTCTGCACTCCCTCCGCAGCTGGAGACTCGGCCACAAACTCCTCTTGATTCTCCCTCGGAGTAATTGGCATTTTTCTATCCCACTTCTGACACCAAAATGTTACGAGCTAGGGGATCGGATAGAAACGCCGTAGATCTCTTCAAGGGTTTATTTCAATTAAATCTACGAGGAATTTGTTACACTAAAAACTGGTAATTACGCACTAAAATTCACTGAATACACACACAAAATACTGTCACTAATTACACGCACTTCACACAGTACTTGTATTCACTTGTCTTCACTATATTCGCACTTTGTCACTCCGGTGTTTATCGCTTGGTATCGCATTCAAAACTGAACTAACTGGTCGCGTTTCGGCTCGCTTTTATATCCCTGGGAGCGATGTTCGAGAACTCTCTAGGCGGCAGCGCAACTGAGTAGCGATCGCACAATTCTAGAACGTGCGTACTAGCTATCCCTTTCGCACATTGCTCCGTCCTTGTCGTACGGCGTTCTAGAGTGCTCGGTCTAGCTTCGAGAAGGTTCCGATCTTCCCTCTCTCTCGCGTATCATTCCGTCCTTGTCCCACACCTAGAAAATTCGTTCTAGAACATTCCTTCGTCAAAGGGGTATAACCAGGCCTGAAAACGCCTGAAAACGGGTTTCCTGAAAAGTGTACCATTCGACTACACGTGTTCTGAAACGGCCTGAAAACTAGGGTAACATTATGTAAATTGCGATTTTCTAATATGTGATTGACCCTCTCCTGAAACGGTCAGAAATCACATTTCAGCCTGCTGAAAAGTTCTCTAACTAGTGGAAAAATCTAAAAACATTGCAGTCGACCCGTCTTCGTAACAAACATATCGGTAAAAGTGGTTTGGTTAGCGATGAAGAAATGTTCGTGCTCTCCGAAGGTTAACTAGAGAATTGAGAGCACTGATTCAATAAATCATAGAATAATTATTATTACATAAGATCGAATAAGGCATTGAATATAGATACTTAACTAGAATAAAGTATGACAAAGGCGCGGATAACAGGAAAATTGTTTGGATTAAAAGCGATTAATTTCGTTAGTTTTTACAATTTTATGAGCTGAATCGAGGACTCTAATAAAATTACGTGTTTGTGAAACATGTTTTTTG